ATCAATCCAGGTGGATTATGGCTTAAAATGTGAAGGGTAGAACAATTAATCCCCTAAAGATAATATAGGAAAATATCTTTATGATATTTTCTATGGTAAGGAAAGATTTCTTAAATAGGATTCAAAAAACACTAACCATAGAAGAAAAGATTGGATTATGTCAAAATTTAAAACTTCTGTTCATCAAAATTCACCATTAACAGAGTACAGGCAAACCACAGAGTGAAAGATACCATGATATGTATTACCAACTAGTAGTAATATTCAGAAAATATAAAAAACTATTATAAGCCCGGAAGAAAAGATCTGAAAACTAATAGAAAAATTGGCAAGAAACTTGGACGGGCACTTCATCAGAAAGGATATCCAAGTAGCCAATACACATATGAAAAAACATTCAACATCATTAGTCATCATGGAAATGCAAATTAAAACCACAACAAGATACCACTGGAGTCCCACCAGAATGGCTAAAAATAAGAAGATTGATGATAAGTGTTGTCCAGGATGCAGCACAAGAAGAACACTCCTATCATGCTGGTGGGAGTGAAAATTGATACAATCACTCTGGAAAAGAGTTTGACACATGCTACCTGCCAGCAGTTCCTCTCCTATGTGTATATGCCCAGCAGAAATGTATGCACACTTGCACAAAAAACTCTCAAAGAATGTTCTTAGCACCATTATTCATAATAACCAAAGACTGGTAATAACCCAAATATCCATCAACAGCAGAAAAAAATAACTTCATAATACATGGTATATTCACATTATTCAGCAATTAAAATTAATGAACTTCAGCTGTGTGTGGTGGCATACACCCGTAATCCCGGCAATTTGGGAGGCTTGAGGCAGGAGGATTGCCTGAGCTCAGGAATTTGAGACTAGCCTGGGCAACATGGTGAAACCCCATCTCTACAAATACAAAAGTTAGCCAAGCATAGTGGTGCATGCCTATAGTCCCAGCTACTTGGGAAACCGAGGTGGGAGGATTACTTGAGAGGCTGTGGTGAGTCAAGATCATGCCACTGCACTCCAGCCTGGACAACAGAGTGAGACCCTGTCTCAAAAATTTTACAAAATAAAATTAATGAATGTCAGCTACATTTTAATAAATGGATGAATTTTACAAAGTTAATGTTGAGCAAAATAATACACACCATGTGATTCCATTTGTAATACGTTCAAGAATAGGCCATTAGCTCTCAAGGTGTTGTCCCGGGCCAGCAGCATCAGCATCACCTGGTAACTTGTTAGAAATGAACATTCTCAGGCCGGGTGCGGTGGCTCACGCCTGTAATCCCAGCACTTTGGGAGGCCGAGGCGGGTGGATCACAAGGTCAGGAGTTCGAGACCAGCCTGGCCAACAGTGAAACTCCATCCCTACTGAAAATACAAAAAACAGGCATGGTGGCGGGCGCCTGTAATCCTAGCTACTTGGGAAGCTGAGGCAGGAGAATCACTTGAACTTGGGAGGCAGAGGCTGCAGTGAGCCAAGATCACACCACTGCACACCAGCCCGGGCAACA